TAAATACAAACAAAAACACCTTAAGGCACGCGAATGAGATCTCTATTCTTTCCATTCTATCATCCAAATACACAACACATTCTTACTTATACACACATACACGCACGGTGACTCTTCCTCAATATCATCAAGGGGCAACGGCCGGAGATCATATAAATTTCCGTGACGTTCTTTACTCATTTGTTTATTTTCATTCTCTTTTTTTTTGCTTTGGAATTATTTCTCGTATACGCGTGTATATTGATTGACTACTAAATCTTGAGATGAACAAATTTCACTAGATTTAATTATATGTATATTTATATACAGAGTATCAAGAATTAGTAACAACGAAAGCGACGATTAGATGATTGCAACAAATATGAATAGGCCTGATATTTTATGGAGGGTCCGTGTGGAATCAAATTTTCATTTTTAAATAGCATAGCATTTTTTAAATTGTTTCATTAGTTGAATTAAAAATCACTATATTTAGTCTATTTCTTTTCAATCTCCTTTCCTCATACATTAATTAATCACATACCTATATATTACTAGGTTATTACTTTTATGATGCTTAAATTACAGGGATAATGGGAATTTGTAATGTATTATTATCAGAATGTAGGCTGGCAAATGTCACAGCCGGTTAAAAAAATAAAAATATATATTGTTGTAACTTTTGATGGAACTAAGTAAAAAAGCGGGAGGAAAGTTTGCAAGTTAATTCATTAAATAAAATATTGGTAAAACATGTTTGAGACCAAATAAACTTTCCAAATCAAAGATACAAAAAAAGAATATTAAATTAAGGAAAAGATATATATTTGATTCGATATGTTTGATTTAAATGGAATAAATAAAAGTTCATAATGTGAGTTAAAGCCGACAAAATGAGTCCAACACTGCTTCGGCATCTCTTTAACAGGTTTTTAAGAGTTGTTGTTATTGATGCAAGATCAGAAAAATAAATCTTTCGAAGCGTATTAGTTAATTGAATAAAAGGACGTTAACAATATATATAATAAAGAAATGATAGTAGTAACCGTTTTGGTTACACACAAAAAACCATCATCACTTTTTTTCCTTCGATAGTTCATAAGGACTAAATCTCCTTTGCTCTCTATTTAATTTGCTTTGCTGCTTATTTCCTGCAGCATCTGATACAATGTCTTGTGAAATTGTAGACAGTAATGATGATGGATTTGCTTTTTTTGATTTTTCTTCTAGTTTTGTAGATGAAAACGATGGCCGCGAGACAGATGAACTATTCGCAGAAGATTGTGATGGTTGTTGCTGCTTCATTTGTGCTAATTTTCGCTCTAGTGCTTGAATCTTTGAATCAGTGCTAAGTTAAAAGGAACCTTAATTAGATTCACGAAACCTTTCGCTTTTTGGGTAAACTTATCTATAGCGTAATATTTTATTTACCTGACATTCACCATTTTATGCGTTTTCAATAATGAAATCGTCGTCGGTCTATTGTTAAGAATCGATGCCGATCCACGTTTTTTGAAGTAAGAATTGTTGCCAGTTTCATAATTATCTGGTGCCTAAAGTCGAAAAAAAGCAATTCACTTAATTAGATAGAAAATATAAACCAACTTTTCTTACCTTTATTAGAAAAGAAAAAGATCATGAATTTGAAATAGATCCTCTACTTACAGCATATGCAAAAGTTACGATCATTGATCGATGCTTGATTACTTTCGAATGCATTGCGTTCATAGCTTTCAGAGCTTCCTACGTGCAATTGTTTTCGAAAATATGATATCCAACAATAAATAAAAAACCAAAAATGGATTCAAATCAATAAAAAGACTCCCGTGATAATTTATACAAACATACACTAGGATATTATTATTTCACCTCTTTACGACTATACTCTAAAAAACAGTAGCCTCTGGGTTGTCCACGTCTTGGACCACTCTTGTGAAATAAATAATCCAAATGTGTAATTTTACCATAAGGCTCAAATAGTTTTACTACTGTATATCTAAAATTAAATGGAGCATATAGAAAATTTGAATAAATGAAAGATAATGATTTAGTAAAGCGTATACTTTTTAAAAAGTAGTTATACGGTGAAAGAGATCTTGACTTCTTACTCGTCTATTGAGGGATCCAGGTTTCCAATGTAAAGCCGTTTTTCATCAAGCTGCATTAGTTGGAAAGAATGATTCGATTGATTGGTTAGTTCTGCTTCCGTAGTAAATAAACCTTCTGAATGATTCAAGCAAAGTCATGATAATACCTTTGAGGAGGTGGTGTTCGATCTTGTTGAAGTCATGACGAAGTCTTGTTCGTAAATTAAATCAAAGTGGGATGTTACTACATTTTAATTTGAATAGATGACACACGGAAATTGCAGGGGCTATACGCCACAACAATTTTGAACCCCTGAATTTTGTTCATGGCGTTATTATTCACTTTATCTCATTATACAGTTAATAAAAAATTGGGCTATTTGGTGACGTTTTGCATTTATTTTTATTATAATTATTGTAGATTAATTTGTACAGGATGGACAAATATCAGCGAATTTATATTCTATATAATCATGGTCAATAAGAATAAAAGGCCACCTTTTCAATGAATGTTAATAACAAAAAAGACCCAAGACCTAACACCAATCTAATTAACCAATAATCATTGGTAGTCATTGTACACCAATTTGTTTGGAGTATTCGAAGGAATTTTGTCAAGTGCGTCCTTGGTTGACAATAAGATAACTTTATCCTTGAGTTCTTTGGGGGACAATGGATCAACATAGAAATCTGATGTGCTATCGGCTTGAAGTGATAAGAAGTAAGCAAGCAAACCGGCGACATGTGGTGATGCCATGGAAGTTCCAGAAATTGTGTTAGTTGCGAATTTTGAGCCGATCCAAGCGGAAGTGATATCTTTGCCCTGATTTATGTAAGCATTCTCAAGTTCAATAAAATGACTAAAGACAAGGATACATTAGAGAGATACTATTTAAGATAAACATTTACTTACAGGAGCAAATACATCAACACATGATCCATAATTCGAGAACCAGGCACGTTCATCTTCAATGGTAGAAGCGCCAACGGTAACGGCTTTTTCTGCTGCGGCGGGTGAATAATCACATGCGTCACGATTATCATTGCCAGCAGCGACAGCAAAGTGAATACCAGCATCAACAGCCTTTAACGTATAAAATCAGAAATTAAAATTAAATGTTATAAATGTTATATATTAATATATATACATACACCATTAACGGCAGCATCTAGTGTTCGACTTCTGCCACCTCCCAAACTCATATTAGCGGCGGAGCCTTTATGTGTCTTTCCTTCTTTCTTAGCTTTCTCAACGTCTTCAAGATGAGCTTCAGCGGCCCATTCAACACCTTTAATGACATCAGACATGGTTCCGGATCCATTTGAACGCAAAACTTTGACTGCTACAATCTTTGCTTTCTTCGAGACGCCGTAACGCTTACCAGCGACTGTACCAGCGACGTGAGTACCTATTTTTTAATTACCAAGATAATTTTAAAATAACTATTATAATTATAATATTGTATTCAGATTTAAAATAAATAATAAAATTACCATGTCCATTGCCATCTACATCTTCGTCTCCATCTGGAATAGTAGCACCCCAAACAGCTCGGTTTTCAAAATCAGTATGATTAATATTGACACCGGTATCGATAATATATACAGTAACATCTGTTCCGGCAGTTTCATGGTATGGATATTTGTTAAAGGTACCAAATGTTAAATGAGCACGATGGGAAATACGAGACAATCCCCAAGGCGCATTTTTTTGAAGCTCTGATGCATAGACTGTTTGGTCTCTCTCGACGTATGCAACCTATTGATTGATTAAAACATACGGTGTTTAGTTCACGTGACTTGTAAGAAACGCGAGATCTGCACGGATTGTGCAATTGTAGATTGTTAAAATTATAGATTGTAAATCAATCATAAATTAATGTTGTCGTACAATAACGCAACATAATATTGATTTACGCCAAATGAAATGTGCCAAGACAAGTCCCCATTTCCCAAAAAAGGAATAACAATTACCTCATCGCTTTCTCTAATCTTTCGCAGAACTTCTTCACTAAATCTACCAGCATAGCCTTTAAGATTTTTGAAGTTGTATGTGTATCGAATGCCAGAGACTAATTCTTGCATATATCCCCCACTACGCTTTACGAACATGTCTTTTTCAAAGTCAATAGCGTTATTAATGCATTCATGGTGGTAGTTAATGTGAGAGTCCTTGGCTGTATTCTTGAATACGACCAGATACTGGTCTGCAATTACGTCTGCCTCCAAAGAAGTTAAGATTGGTGCAAGCTGTTTCACATTTGATTTCGAGTGAAATGGAATCGCATAAGACGTTGTTGCTAGGACAAATGTGATAAGGAAGAATTTCTTAGAAACCATCGTTAGAATTTCAATAAATTTAGCAGGGTAGACTAACTAATTGACGTAAAGAGTTAATAGGTAAAATGAACTGTTCGTAAAAAAACGTATTCTTTATTAAATTATCATACGAACAGCAACGTAAAATAAGATAGAAAATTTGTTAATCTGTATATATATAGAAAGTCAAAGGAAAAGGGGTAAGTATTTCCTGAGAAAGGGGTGGGGAACTTGTACTTTTATAAGGTAGATACAATAGTGTAATTATAATAATATTATTATTATAAAGCGACCATTGAAATCTTTTGTGCGCCTCTTTTTTGGCGCTAAAAAAGATAAGGAAGCACACCTCACTCGTTTTTTCTATTATTTATTTAATTGATCACTTAAAGTATAATTATATACAATAACGCCAAATCTATATAAATCAGGGCGATTTCCGAAGTTTTTGATTTTGCAAAGTATATGTTTTTAATCAGCTAATCTATTAAATTATCATTGGCGCGAAATCCTTGTATTGCGACTTTTGGTATATTGAAATTATTTGATAGATTTTATCGTAGGCCCGTTACACGTGAGTATGAGAATTTATTTTGAACACACATATACATACATGCACGTACCTTAATGTTATCTTTTCACTACATACGCGATTCCGCGAAATTGTTAATAAAACCTTGGAGCTGATCCAAGCAAAAGACTACGTATTGTAATTCTATTCAAACATCTTTGAAACAGTTGTCACTATGTTTTTCGATCCCGAGGGCGAAGCAAATTGTGTCGCTCGATATACATTATTCATTGAACAAGCAATCTCGGATGACAAATATGCTCGTGATACGATAAAAATTAGTGTAAAACATGACATCATAAATAAATAAAGGAATTTTTAACAAAGGGAATAATAATAATCGCCAAAAATAATAACGATTTGCAATTCAGAACTTTATTTATTGATCTTATTAAAATATTTTATAAAAAGCGAATACCAGAAGTGAATTTTTTTGCTCGCACGTCTTTAAAAGAGACATTGACCAAAGACGAGATAATTCTGAATCTACTAGTATAATTAACTCTTCAAACTTTTACACACGATCGAATTATGATTTCCTATTCGTAAAATGTATTTTCTACCGAAAAGTGTAAACTCTCACGTATTTCTAAAGATTTAGAACTGTGAACTGAAAAATGACTGATCCATTCCTCAGCGGTTGGTCTTCTCGCTGATGTGCAAAAGTTATTCAATTTTTATTTAATCTAATTAATTTTCACCCATTTTTTAGAGTTTTTCAGGGGTCGGATTTTCCGGTAGCGGAAAATGGGAGTCGCTGTTGGAGTCCTTATAATAAATCAATTATTTTTTAATATCATACTTATTTATGACCTCAAGAACATATATTCCAAATTTGGTAATGTTTGCTTTTCTCGCTGATATGCTATTAGAAGTTATTCGATTTTTATTTAATATAATTAATTTTCACACATTTTTTACAGTTTTTTCGGGGGTCGGATTTTCCGGCAGCGGGAAATGGGGGGGTTGCTGTTGGAGTTCAAGTTTTAGTATCTTTGCTTTCCATTGAAGTAATCAAATAGTCTAATGATAAAAATCCACTCTTGTCATGGACAGCCTCAGGTGCATGACTACGAACAGCCATTGCAGTAACTGAGGCGATTGGCATACACAGTCAAAATCAATAAGGAACTATTCTTGCCGGTCAACGCATCAGGTTCATATTATGAAGAACTTAAAGGAGATGTATATATTGCAAGTCAGAATCATGTGTTTCTAAGAAATAAAAATCTTATCTTTAAAGTTGACAAATACAAGACAGTGCTTTGACTAGTTCTTCAACTGAACAAGAAATATATTTTTGATCCTTTGGTTCAAACAATATTTTTTCAAGTTTAACATGGACAATAAAAGGTACGATGCCTGTCATCCCAAATATTGACATTTCAGCGGATGCGTGGTGTTATAAACACCCTGGTTTTGTAAAATCTTTATGACATTTGCGTAATAACCAAATATATGGACAAATTTCCATATGTCTAATCTAACTTGTTAGTTGACATCTTCTCTTCACCCCTTGCAAGGCACGCTTACTTTGATTATTATTTTCCATTTGTTGGTAACAACTAAATTTCTCCCCAAAGATAGAAAACAAAAGTCCCATTTTCTTCACATAAAACAATATATAGTGACTTACCATTTATCGTCAACAATATTTAACGAAAAATTCCTCAACATTGTCGTCATCTTCGCTCATACATCTTTAGTCATTCCATGTTCAATTTACTGTGTAATAATTGAAAGAATACTTGTCAAAAATATTGCATAAAAAACTGATTTTAACCGATTAATACTTCTAAACATGAGACATCAGTTCGTAAGTCTTTGATAGAAGTATAAAACATTCTGATTAAGAAAAGTGCTCCAGAATTTTGTGAAAAATCTGTTTGATCTGGTAAAACATTCACCCAAGAATTCTGGATAACACTTTAACAATATAAATTGGAATTTTTTGGTTTAAGTCTTTCCATAAAAATGATAGTGAGTCAAACGGGAAAGCAAAAACTCTGGTTCTGCTCTAAGCATAGAAAACTGTCTGTCTATGTAAGATAAGAAAAATTCAATTGATTAAGCAATAAAGCAAAATTATGAAAGAAATTCATAATAATTTAGAAAAATCCTAGATGGTCTATTCTAACTCATCATCTTCCGTCTTTGAATTTGGAATCAGCATCTAGACAGGCTCGTCAAATATAAATAATAGTATGATGTATGTATTATTGCGAAATTATTATTATCGTTATTTAATAAGAATAAAAATTAATGATAAAATGGACGGATGAGAAAATTGAATTGCATATTTAAGATATAATCAAAGAAAAAAAGTATTAGTTAAACTTGTAAATAGAATATGAAATATTCACTCAATTAGTATTATACAAATTTTAAATTACTGGTCCTTTCATTTCTTTTTCAACTTCTTTTTATCATCTTCTTAGCATAAACTTTCTCTTCTCTTTTCAATTCTTTCAGTCTTCTTCAATATCTCATATCTTTTTTCATATCTTCAAATTTTATTATTTTTTAAGCAAGTTACAATTCTTAAAATTTTATAATATATCATATAATACTTATTATAATATTCTCTTGATAAAATGAAAATAAACTAAAACTTGAAATATTTCAGTTCAATAATGTAACTTATTGTTAATATACTCTTAGATTTGATATTATGAAATATTTAATTTCTTATTAGTAATTTATAATATATTTTCAATCCTAGCAATTCTTATTTGCTTTACTTGAATAGCTTGCAAAGAACTAGTTATAGATTATAAATATCTTTTTCACTTTTATTTTTTAGTATTTATTATAAGTATTTCTTATAATTTTACAAATTTAATATTTTTTTATTTATTTAATATTATTATAATATAAATTTTTATTAAAAATATTATTTATTATTAGTTAATTTATATTATAATTTTATTAATTTAAGAAAATATTATTTATAAATATTTATAAAAGATTTTATAAATATGAAAATTATAGTAAAATTATTATAATAAAGTTAATAAAATTATTATAGCTAAACTAATAATATTATTATAATAAAATTAATATTATTATACTAATTAAATTAATATTTAAAATATAATAAAAGTAATATAACTATTATATTAAAAAATGATAATAATATAATTATGTTATTATTACTTAGTATAAATTATATATAATGATAAGATTATATATATATCATCATTCAAGTAATAATTAGTTCATGAGTTTATCATCATATTAAATACTTACAATCTATAAAAAATATGATAATAATTTTATGTTCATATTATCATACTTAATTACTTTGATAAGTATATAGTTTGTATATTCTTTAAAAAGTTAAATTTAATATCAATAATATTTTAATTACTTATATAAATTTTTATATATTAGCTTAATATTTCTGATTAATTTCTAATATAATAAAATAACTAATTTAGATTATACTATTCAGTTATTATTACAAACTATACTCTGGAAGATAGGTTTTATCATGAATATAATTTATAATAAGTTTTAAGAATGAAGACTAAATTATTTATAAAGATTAAGGAGATAATAATTATTCTAAAGATTTCCTAGTGCTAATACTTACAAGTATTATATCAATATAAGGTAAAAATAAAGTAAAACAAAAATATAAAAATGAAGTTGTAATCACAAATATTAAACTAAGAGATGATAAAAGGAAGTTGAAAAAGAAAGGAAAGGACCAGTAATTTAAAATTTGTATAATACTAGTGGAGTGAATAT